AAAGTTGTTCGTCCCTCCACACTTTTTTTTTCATCTCCTGCCTCCATATACCATCTTCTTTCTACTGGAAGAGAAACCAAGTGAAAGGGCAAGAAAGTAGGTGTGATTTGCTACTGCTGGTGCATTGATGTAGAAGATTGAATGGAGAAGTTTGGCTGTAGGGATCCATTATATATCAAATTATTCTTGCAGTTAGATGTAATCTTCTAAGTTTATGTTAAGATCTTTGCAACTGCAAATACAAAACTACACCTGTAAAATAATCAAACACTTTCCATGTTTCTGGAAAACAAGATCTTTCTGCTTTGCAATTATAAGTCTTGGGAAAACAACTAGAATAATCATAGAATCACCATGGTTGGAAATGACCTCCAGGATCATCAAGTCCAACCTTCCTCCCAACATTTCCCGAGTCACTAGACCATAGCCTCAAGTGCTATATCCACTCGTTTTTTGAACACTTTCCAGGGATGATGATTCCACCACCTCCCTGGGCAGTCAATTCCAGTGCCTAACCACTTTCAGTGAAGAAATTCTTCCTAAGATCTAATCAAAATCTTCCCTGGAACAACTTGAGGCCATTTCCCCTCATCCTACCATCAGTAATTTGGGAGAAGAGACCAGCACCAAGCTCACTACAACCTGCTTTTAGGTAGTTGTAGAGAGCAATAAGGTCACCTCTCAGTCTTCTCTTCTCTAGGCTAAACAACCCCAGTTCCCTCAGCTGCTTCTCATAAGGCGTGTTCTCCAGATATCTCAACGGCCTTGTTGCCCTTCTCTGGACCCGCTCAACCCATCGAGAAGGATCAGGAGTTCTAGGTCTCATTGTGCTAAACCAATCTTTACTCAATATAATATTTTTCAATAGCAGTCACAAGTAAAATGTTATTTGTGAATGTAATCCATTTAATCTCATATTTTAGCTTGACCACACCTAAATTTTGGGTCTCATCTAGAGACTTTTGAAGTTGTATAGTTATTTGTCTTTTTGTTTACATCTTTTAATTCAAGTTCCTCATTTGCCTTACAGAAACCTGCTTCTAAAGGAGGTTGGAGATGAGGTATGTGTTGAGGAAGAAATTTTTTTTCTATCAAATACTTAACAGATGTCTGAAAAGCAGGCAGACAATAAAAACAAACAAACAAACAAACAAGAACAAAAAGCAAAACCAGATCAATTCAGGTGGCTTTTATTTCTAATCTTATTACAATTACTCCTCATCATTCTCCTTACTCTTCAAAGATAGTATAATAACATTCAATGTCTTTATTGGTATTATAATAAGGCCATTCTTTTGTTTAGAGCTGCTGAATGTGTTTATATTCTGCAAATAAATAAATTTATCAATTTAACTAGAGACAAAGCAGGCCATTGACATTGCTCCTTCTCATAAAACTGTCTTTTAGCAGCAGTCTAAATTGACAAGTAATTGACCTCCTTGTGGCCCTCTCAGGAAAAATGTGAAAACTGACTTAACCAGGTTAAGATATGCAATCATATTGATATGGAGGTATGTTTTATCATTTCATTGCACATGAATGTCAGATGCATTTAGGATGAGCATAAAAAAAAAAAAATACAGAAAAAGAATGGCCTTCTATAGAAAATATTTGTTTCTCTTAGAGTCTCAGAGTCAGAAGAAGAATGCTACAGACAGGTATCATGTTATATTTCTGTGCAAAATATTGCTGTAGCCTCAGTTAATTAAAATGCACAGAGTTCATCACTGGTTATTAAAACAAACATCCAAATCATGCTGAATTCTACTTAGATCCCTCCCTAGGGTATTTTCATAAGAAACAATAGTGTCTTAAATTCTTCTGGTGCCTTGTCTCCATAAACTTTTTAAACTAATTTCTCCTTCAAGCAAAAGTAGGAGATATATACTAAAATTAAATTAGAATTATTATATCAGATTGTGGGTCTGTTGCTACTGAGAATACCTTTTTAAAACAAACCTTCAATAGGGAAACTATGTTGGCATGTTTATTTCCTATTTACGTATTGTTATTCTAAATTATAATGTTTATACTTTGAAAACAAGCATTTAATAAAAATTTCTTCAAATAAGTTTCTTCTAGATTAGAATAGAGGAAGTCTTGTGAAGATAAGACAGACCTGCTTTGTCTAAACCAGCAAAGTCAAGCACACATCTTGAAGGCTATAGTGTCAGAGGAAAGACCTTTGCCTAATTAACAGCAAAATTAGTATTAAAGTGTACAACTCTAACTATGGTAATGACCGTAACGAAATGTGTCTTAAAGACATATGTCTATTACTCAACTCTCCACCCAACTCATGCATGATGTCACCTAGAAGGCATGGACAGATGGCATCAGGGTATAAAAAATCATGAGGGAAGTACCACTTTAGGAGGGGAGAAGACTAAAGATTTAGCAAAGGTGATCAGCAAACTGTACTCCTCTTTCTCTACCCAAGACAAGGACACCTTCTTGGTAAGGATTGTGTCTTCACAGTACAACATAAATTTTCCTAGCATTACTATCATAAATTAGCACTATTACAAAGTCTTGCACCTCTGTCAGATGTTACCCAAGAATTACTAACTCAAACTCAGTTTTTCAGTTAGTGCATTTATCAACCGCAATTCCAAACCTATTATGTCTCAAGCTAATTTAATTTTTTTTTTAACTGTAAAAATGTCTCAGTGCAAGGCCTTATCAGGGCTCGGGAATGGGCAACTATTGTCCCATCATCCAGCTGACTTACCAGCTCAGGGCTGACCAAAAGTCAAAGCATATTCTTAAGGGAATTGTCCATATGCCTCTTAACACTGGCAGGCTTGAGGCATCAACCATCTCTCTAGTAAGCTTACTTGAGGGTTTGACCACCTTATCAGTAAAAAAAATGCTTCATGTTGAGACTAATCCTCCTCTGGCCCAGCTCTGAGCCATTCCCACATGTCCTATCACTGGATGCTGGGGAGAAGAGATCCTCACCTCCCTCTTTATTTGCCCTCCTCACGAAGCTATAAACAATGAGTTTACCCCTCAGCCTCCTTTTCTCTAACCTGACAAACCCAAACATTCTTGGTCTTTCTTCATAGGATTTTCCTTCCAGCTTTGCTATCCTCTTCTGGATGCATTAAAGGACCTTCACAACCTTCTTAAATTGTGGGGCCCAGAACTGCACACAGTTCTCAAGGTGAAACCACCTGAACACTGAATACAAAGGGATAATTAGCTTTTTTGACTGGCTGGCTGTACCATGTTGATGCACCCCAGGATGTGGTTTGATGCATCCTTTTGGCTGCAAGGGCATGCTGATGACTTGTGTTGAGCCTGCTATCATTCAGCACCCCTAGATCCCTTTCTGTAGGGTTCCTCTCCAGCCACTTGTCACCCAATTTGTACTTGTGATCAGTGCTTCATCTCAGATGCAGAAACTGGCTTTTGCACTTAATAAATTTAATCTCATCAACCATTACCCAATGATCCAATCTATCTAGATCCCTCTGTGAGGCCTCTTGTCCCTCAAGGAAGTCAACAACACCTCGTTGTTTGGCATCATCAGCAAACTTGTTGATGATGCATTCAACTCCTGCATCCAGATCGCTGATCAATATAATGAACAGGACTGGACCCAGAATTAAGCTGTGAGGAACACTGTGGTTACCAGTTGCCAATCAGGGGTACCCCATTCACTGCAAGCTTCTGAGCTCTGTTCTTCAGCACTTCACCCAGCTCACTGTGAACTCATTCATCCCACAGTTGGACAACTTGTCCAGAAGGATACTGTGAAGGAAAATATCAAAAGCCTTACTAAAATCGAGAAAAACTACATCCATTGCCTTCCCTTCATCCACTAGGTGAGTGATCTTATCATTGGATATCAAATTGGTTAAACAAGACTTTCCCATTGTGAACCCATGTTGACTGTCTAATTAATGAGTTATTCTTTAAAAGTCTTTCACCAGTACCCAGTATAATCTTCTCTATAATTTTTCTAGGAACTGAGGTCAGACTAACAGGCTTGTAGCCCCTTGGTCTTCCATTGCATCCTTTTTGTTGATTGGAACAATAATGGTTAACTTCCAGTCAGCAAGGATCTCCCCAGAATAATAAAACCTTTGGTCAATGGTCAAGAAGGGTCCTGCCGTAACATCTGCTAGCTCCTTCAGCACACTGGTATGAACGCCGTCAGGCCCCATGAACTTGTGAATGTTAAGCTGATACAGGTGATTCATTACAATTTCAGTGTTCACAAATGGAAACTCAGTATTCCCACACTCAGAGTCCTCTGACTCAGGGCAACCTAAAGTCTATCAACACTACTAAAAACTGAAGCAAAAATCACATTGAATGCTTCTGCTTTTTTCTTTTTCCCTATTAGTCAGATGAAGATCTTTTACAAGTATCAGTCCAATGTTTTCTTTAGAGCGCCTGTTTTTACTAATATACTTCTGAAAAACCCTTCTTATTTTGAAACAATGACCAGTTTAAACTTTAATTGAGCTTTGGCCTTTTATGTGTTCTCCCTGTGTATACAAATCATGACTTTGTAATCTTTCTGTGAAACCTGACCTCATTTCCAGAGATCATACAACTTGTTTATCCTCTGGAGCTCCATGAGGAATTCCCTATTCAGACAAGCTTGTCTTCTGCCCCACTTGTTTGACTTAATGACACAGTGGAATTTCCTAGCAGGCAAAAGTAGAACTTGGTGAATAAAAGACCACTTTTGGTCATTTCTTCAAAACACTAGCCATAGTTCAGATTTCTTAGGCTTCCTTGGTTCATATGGCCACAAAATAATTTTCCCCCAAATAAGGGATACTACTTAATATCAATATGGTCAGATTTCCCATATAGTTTTCAGGTTTTTGCTCATTATTTTTAATAAAGAAAATAATTAAAATGTGTTGTGCTCATATATAAAAGTTTTATTATTGCAACAACAGATTTGAATACTTTGCACTCAAGGTAATTGTAAAACAATAGTGAGAGTTGTTTCTTGAGTTTGTTGCACTTTCTGATAAGTTTGTAATTTTTTCCTATCTCAGTCATTTTTTTTTTTTTTTTTAAATTGTAAGGGCTTGCTCATACTTTAAAAAATGCAAAGGCCTATTAGTGTCATACTTGGTCAACACATACAATGCAGAAAGCTCTTTTATTGGCTGTCTATAAATGTATAGTTTGATACTGTTTTAATAATTTCCCTGTTCTTGCTTTTTTTCTCCTTCACTGACTATTAACTTTATAACTCTCCTTTTGCACTGTTTTATAGTCTACAAATGAGTCTGTGAATGATATTGTATTAATAGATGCGTCGGAGACAGATTTTTTTTTTTTTTTTCTCCAGAAGAGTAGTTTATTCTCAATGTATAGCTTTTATGGGATTACTGTAATCTTTCTTCACCCATTATTTCCTTGTTTTATTCTCTGAAAATCACTTTAAGGAGTCTTTAGAGATTGCCTTTTCACACAAATTTCAGGAATATTTCTTAACACTTAACACCACCTGTTCTAAATGAGGCACACTGAAATCTACACAGAGAAACCTAGACACCTATGAGTAGTGTTCCACAATAAAAAAAATGGGAGAGGGAAGACACCTGAAAACATGTACTGATAGTAACTTTGTTAGTTAATTACTTTTCATTTTAAAAATATCCATCATTTCAAGGAGAAATACAGGAAATAAAAAAATGCACTTTTTTAAAAAAAACAGTGCAAAGGAAGGGGAAGGGCTGGAATGCTAAAAGAATGACATATAAATGAAACCACAAAAATAAATTATTCTATGCAACTAGTAAGTTTTGTTCTTCTTTTTAGCCTTTGTAAACAATTTGAAATGTTATTTCAAAAATATTTGAAATTATTAAAAATTTTTGAAATTAGGTATCTTGCACATCAGACCTGTAAAGAAGATCAGACATTAAGACAGTTTAAAAATACAAACATGGAGTAAATTGGGATAGAATTCTGAGAAAAAAATATGAGAAAAGTTGAAAAAGATGAGAGTTAAGTGTTGCGAAGAAGTAGTAAAACCTGCTTCATCTATAAAATATACCTCTTATGACACACAAATTTTCCTATTCAACATGCCATTTGTGGAAAACTACCATACCACTAGCTGTTTAATAAAGTCTGATAAAACACAAACAGAAAAACTTAATTTTCTTTTTGCTGTATTTTCAGTGAAAAATGGGGTGGGGAGAGTAGAAGAAAAAAAAAAAATGTAAGGTTGAAGTTTCAGTATTTTGTTTTTCCTTGTAAATAATTAATTGTTTGGTCATTTTCCTTGTTCCCTCTTTAAAAAAATATATTCAGAGTGCAGAATCTGCTGAAATGTCAAACTCTTCATTTATTAAGTAATCTGAAAAAGATATGCTGCACTCATGACATTTGCGTTTGATTAGCAAAGACAACATAATCCGGTATGACATTCTGTTGAGGAGGATTAAATAGTATTACATATAGAAGGGGGTCAAACAATTTACAATAATTTGTTTAGTTCAGTGCAGGTGAAAAGTGTTGTTTTGAAACTAAATATATAAAATAAGGTAATAAAGAATCTCTCTCCAGTTTCTCAGCAGCAACTCTTTCCATTCCTTTGCCTCTACTCTGTTGAAGAAATTACTACAGCCATTTGTAGCTTCAATTTTAGATACCCAAGTTGCTAAATCAATTCTAAATGTAAGTAATTTCTCTGTACAGACTCAAAGCTTAATCTATACATAGGCAAAAGCAAACCATTAGGCCATTTTTTTTAGACTAATTAGGAGAAAGATAAAGCAAAACTTGTCAAAGAAAACCCACTGTTGAAAAAGAAGCCTTCAGTTTTAACAAGAGCCAAAGTATGGCTTCCCATAGTCACACAAGAAACAAACAGAAATCAGAAATTATCACAGTGAAAAGCACTTCTTCCAGAACTCTACATGAGATAAGCATATATCACATAATAAAACATGTACTTGAACTGGACTCACAAAGGAGGAACAAAAAAAAAAAAGGAGATTAAAAAAATATATATCATAGAATCATAGAATTGGTGGGTCTGGAAAGGACCATAAAGATCATCTAGTTCCAAATCCTCCTGCCATGGGCAGGGATACCTCACACTAGACCAGCTTGCTCAAAGCTCCATCCAACCTGGTCTTGAACACCTCCAGTGATGGAACATCCACAGCTTCCCTGAGCAACCTGGTCCAGTGTCTCCTTCAGAGTGAAAAACATCTTCCTCATTTCTTAGGTAAATCTACCCCTTTCCAGATTGAACCCATTACCCCTCATCCTGTCACTACAAACCCTTGTAAAAAGTCCCTTCCCAGCTTTCTCACAGACCCCCTTCAGCTACGGCAAGGCTGTGATAAGATCTCCTTGGACCTTTCTCATCTCTAGGGTGAACAAACAAACGCTCTCTGCCTGTCCTGGTAGGAGGGGTGTTCCAGCCCACTGATCATCTTTGTAGGCCTCCTCTGGACATGCTCCAACAGGTCCATGTCCTTCTTGTGTTGGCATCTCCAGACATGGACACAGTACTCCAGTTGGAGTCTCACCGGCACAGGAGAACCACCTTCCTCAACCTGCTGGTCACACTTACATATCACTATTATACATTTACTTATATATGAACTTGAGATTGTTAATAAGATGTGTTATTTGGGTGACCTAGACATTATTTTATGTCACCTGAAAAATTCTGCTCCCTATTTCAATTTTGTTTAGAAAATAGAAGGCAAAAGTATGTAGCATTGGCAACACATTGTTAGAGGGAAAAAAACCAAATTATCAAAGACTAAAAAATATTATTTTCATTTATCTTTTGCATCCAGCTAGAACTTTCAAGAATATCCTTTGTTTAAAAAAAAATAAAATAGGAGGGACAAGGAGAGTAGGAGCTGTCATCCCATCTTGTAATAACTACAGTGAAGAGAGGTAAAACCTGGAGTCAGAAACTAGTATGTGGTAGCCTCTTCAGAGCAATCAGCAGAAAAGAGATGTCATTTGTAATGAGTTAGAATATTTCCTAACTTGCTTCCTCTCAATCGCCCAACCACCTCCTAGTGCCTACTTTCAAGGTGTGAGAGAGGCTGAGATGGGTGCCTGAAATAAGTAGTTTGAATTGAATTGAACTTTGATTTCAAAATAGACATTTCTGTTCCCATGGAATTTCACACCTTCTAATATCACTAAATGAGAAAGTAAAGCTAAGCCCTTATTCACTTGAAACTAGCAAGGAAATCAAAAGACAGATAAAACATAAAACAATAGAAAAAAAAAAAACCACCAAAATACATTAACATGTTAAGCTCAAATGTCCATTCAAAAGTTCATTTCCAAGCCAAAAGTGTGATGTGGAGAAATACCAGGGATGTCAGTGTGTATGCCTATATCAGACCAGCCAGTTTAAACAAGACATTTTCTAGTAACTCCTCTGTCTTAATGTATTGTTTCCAATATGAACAGTTTCAACAGTATTATACTACTAAAATACCACAATATATTAAAAAAAGAGAAAGTGTTCCTTTCATGCACTTCAAGGTATCTCAAAAAAGCACACACACAAAAAAAAAAACAAACAAAAAAACAAACAAAAAAAAAACACAAACAAAACAAAAAAAAACCAACCAAACAAAAAAAATAAAACCACCCAAGAACCCTCCACAGTCTCTAATCCACTCCATGGAAAGAAAAAAATGGAATTAGATCACTATCACAGTTTCTTTCATCGAGTTAAATGAGCTGAGTGTTACTGAAAAGGACTATGCTCTTCAATACAGCAGAACATGGCAACGCTTCTGTTGGTGTTGCAGTGAGATGTTCTCATTGTGCTCATTGTGTTTAGTCATATCATTATCAAAACCCTTCCTTCACCTAGACTCAAAAATCCTAGTATTAACAGCTGCTTAAGACTATACAAAGAACCAGCAGTCTTAACTAATTTTCTGTCTGGAATTTTAAATTGTTGGCTACATTATTAAATGACAACCTCTAATTTTGATCTGTGGCTCACAGTAGTATTTCTACCATCCCTGAGAAAGCTCTTTTATGTCTTCATTTCACAGTTCAGCCATTTCATAGCTATACAGTTCATCTGGTTTAGATGATGTCCACTGCTGTACAGTGACAATACATAATTCATCAAAATATGCTAAATCTTGTAGGATTATATAAAATATATGAAAGGATTTATTAATTCATTTCTAGAAGGATAATTTATCTTTAATCTGATTAAAACAGAACATTTAAATAAGTTATTTTAGCTTTAGGCATATTTAGTCTCTGTGGTTTAGTTTTAGGTTTTAATTTTACCATGCATATAGAATCATTGAAAATGTAATATTGCAGGAAATTTATTGAAAAAGAAGTTTCATCTACATGCAAAAAAGCTACCGTTGAAAAGCTGATGATCTCAAGTCTAAACTGTCACTTTATACACCATTTACATATATATCTATGTATGAGAAATCAAAACATACTCTTTCACATGAAATTTATGATGAAAGTGATAATCGCAAGCTAAAAAAAAAGATTTTTTAAGCAACATTTTTTTTATTATTTTAAAATAAACTTCAGCTTCCATGTAAACTTCCTCCTAGTGTTTCTGCAAGATTCTTTTTTAAGAAGGGTTTTAGATTTGACCTATTATCACCCCATGGTCTTAATGTGTGCTGACTGTATAAAAATTCAATATTTTAACATTTATATAACATCCTCCTTATTTATCTAGCTTGACTTTGTATTTCCTACCAATTGTATTTACTGCAGTGTCATGGCTCTCCTTCTTTGCCTAGTTCTTGAATGATGACAGTATAAATTAAATTCTATTAGGTGTTAACATAGCTAAAAACCAGCATATTAATGGTCCAACCTCTACTGGTTTACAGGTTTCTGTCTGAGGTAATAGGAAATTATAGAGATCATGTTATCAAGAAAAGAACAACAAATCAGCAGAAGTTAGAGAAAAGAAAAAAAGTAATATTTGGAGCTGGAGGTTAACAATGAACAGAGCTAGAAAGAAAAGATTTTAGCAGAAAAGCAACTAAGGGGAAGGAGAGGGACAGAGAGGGAAAGAAAAGAAGATAAATTATTTTATATGGAAAACAGACTATCCTAGAAGTAATGAGATGAGATTAACAAATGGGAAGTTTAGACCAAATATTGGTAGATATCTTGAGAAGGAGGTATATTAGGATTTGGAATAGTCTCCTAAGGGTAATGGTAGAAGATTCAACATTTGGCTTTTTTAACACTAGACAGGACAAAGCACAGGAAAAAGTATTGTTTGAGAAAATCCTGCCTTGACAGAAAGATTAAATGAATAATCTTATAGGCCTTTTCCATCTCTAACTTGTTGCTATGAATCTGCTAGAAAAGACTAAATTTAATCTTCTCAGTGTGTTTTATTCTTTTATTCATAAATTATCTTAATCTTTTCTATGCATTTTCTGCCTCTTCTGCCTCCTTTAACACAGATTTAGAAGGAATATTTAAGATATTTTAATTCTATTTCCTCTTCTTCAACTGTTGCAGGTTAATTTTAATTCTCATATGAACAAAACGTGAAAATGAATAGAGGTTACCTGTGTATTGGAGATGAGTGGGAATTTTTCATTTAAATGTTTTCTTTTGGAATTGTCGAGATTTTCACTAAGTTTTTACAAAATTTTAGATTGAGGTCCTAATTCAGACAAAATAAAAATAATCTCTTATAACTCACCATGTTTGGAACATTTGATTCAGAAATTATAATAAAAAAATGGTTCAGGCAAGCATTTTAAAAAATCCAGGAGTGATACTGCTGAAGAAAATCTAAGTGTTACTGAAATTTTTCAGGCAGTACATTTTACTGTTCTTTTACTGTTCTTGATTTTATTTGCTGTTGTTGTTTGATATGTGCTGTTTTCTTTAAGCAAAGGGGAACGGCAATGGATTCTTTATTCTCAGTGTATCATAAAGACACGTGTCACAGTGAATTTGCCAAGCAAGTGTAGTATCTCTCCTCTGAAATAGTCCTAAGAGAGTTGAGTGCCACAGGATATTTGGAAGTGACATGCCACAAGAGACAGACCACAACTTTCAGAGAAAGTGCTGGGAGAATCATAGCTTTGTCACTCATGTCAAACATGGAAAACCACAAGGAGAGGAAAAAGTGATTGTTGTGATCTGCTAGCTATACAAGTGGAATTAACAGTGCGATTAATGAACAAAACCCTACAATGTGGTTTCATTAATTGCTTTTAATTACTTAATTTTCTGAAAAACTCCAGTTGCTCTTGGAGGTCAGAAAACCAGTGGGCTTGGCAGGTTTTGCTGTTGACTTACTGAGCCTGAGATACGCAAAGGTCACGATCCATGAAGGGATTACTTATTGCTAAACAGATAAAACTAGGATTTATTGTAAGACTGACAGTACTCTTACACAAATTCTGAAAGACTGACTTTAGTTTGAAAATGAAAATTTTCCTTTTGTCTTTCTTCAAACAGCAAGAATAACAATAGTTGAAAGCTAGTTTTCTACTAACTTAAAGAAAACTTGTGATTTGCTATTTCGATTCATGCCATTATTTAATAGCTAGGAGAAACAAACAAAATAATTATTTACTTAGGAGTTTTATCTTCATTTTTTCACCATATTTTGAGTAGCTAACAATTTGCTCAAAATATTAACTCTACCACACTGTATAAGTTGTTTAGCTCTGGCTAGAGATACTTCTTTCTACATACAAAAATGTACCTGAAAGCGTTTTTGATGAGATGCTTCACAAATTATTTTACTGTTGTAATAGAATAGCAGAATTCCAAATCTCTTTATGAACTTACATAATATGAACATGACATATCTTAAAATAAATTCCAGGCATGAGGAAGTGTGTATAGACTAAATAAATACTGGGTTTAGTTTTAGGAATTTGCAGCCATTTGTAATGGCTCCATTCATAGTAGAAAATAAAATACAGTAGGAGCGTTTTCTCTGCTCCTGAAGACAAGTGGCAGAGCATTTCTCTCTAATTGCTACCTACAGTTAAACTCTCTTCTCCCCTTAAATAGAATTACTACTGTACTGACACTTGGGAACAATATGGTTTATCCTTGGCTATCCCTCAGTCTTTTCCTAAGCAGTGTCTGGAGAGCACTAGCTGTCATGAAACAAAACTTAGAAAGTTACCAGGGAATGTTCTTGACTACTTTCCACTACACTTTCCACTTTTCTGCTTTCCACATTCAAGGTGTCCTACATTTTTGGGCAAACAGCTTGAAATACCTTTGATGTTACCAGTATTTTGAAAATGCTGGGCAGTGAAACACTCTTCTCCTTAATTATATTAGGATATTATTAGGATATTTCAGTCTGGGCACTTAAAATCACTCAGTTCTCTGAAAGCTGTTTTCATTTTAATTTTATATGTTTTAACACATATCTAAGTTTTCTCCTTGTATTGGGTCTGGCTGAGCTGATTTTCCCATAGCAGCCCTCCTGGTGCAGAGCTTTTGTGTGGGGAGTTAGAAGGGTGTTG